TTTTTTGAAAAAATGAGAATTATTATACATATATCTAGGCCTACAAAAAACTTGTTATTAATATATATATTTCAAGCCCACATCATATTAAAAGTTTAAATCTCTCTCTACTCTTTTTCTTCACGGCTCCACCTGCTTTTTATAGTTTATCCCTCAAATTTTTTACTCTCTCATTCTTTTTATCATGCTATTCGTTTTTAAAACTTTTGAAAATTAAAATTATTGAAGCTTTCACTATTCAAGGTGTCATAATTAACTTCATTTTCTCTTTTATCAGTTTTAGGTATATATTTAGTTTATTTTAGGATTGAATCATGTTTTTTTTTTTTTTTTTTAAAGATTTTTAATTCTAATTTGAGAGAAAAAGACATGGATCTTATGAGTTTATTTTGTGTTTTGTATCTAAGAATGAACCTGCTTTCCTAAATCAAAACTTTAAATATATTTTAAAGGACATTATTTTTCACCTTTCACCCACCACTTTCTTATATTTCTAACGTCACCGTTTAACTGCTCAAAATTATTAATAAAATTTGAGTTACTAACTATATTTATATCAAGGAAATTTTTTTTTTATTATTATTAATTCATATTAAAAGTCAACGTAACATTGACTTGACTTAAGTTTTGGTTGACTTTAACTTAGGCTAGGTCTAATTAATGTCATGAAAATTTATATTATAATATTTGGAAGCCAAAAATTAAAATTAAAAGAAGGTTTTACTCAAGATTTACTCAACACATTTACTCAAAAAAAAAAATTTCTCATAGATTTATTCAAGTAGGGATTATTGTGTTATTACATTTTTTTTCTCTCATATTCTTGATATAGTATTATTTTCTTTGTTTTAGGTTTGATGTTTTTTTTTTAAGTTTTTACTAGTAGTTTAACAAACAATGGTGAAGCCACCGAGGCCCCCCCTTGGCAAAAATTCTAGATCCACCACTGGGTGGTAGGGTGTGTCGGCAGGTTGGCATCGAAGGCTGGTCGGAAAGTCGCACAGTTGTGGAAGATGAAAAGTCGCATAGTTGGGGTTTTGCGATGGTGTGGGTTTTGCGGCAAAGGGATGGTGTTGGTGTTGATGATGGTGGTGGAGTAGGAAGAGTTGGGTTGTCAGAAATTTTGGATAAAAAGATCTAAATACCCTTTAGCCGTTTAATTAAACGATTTTTATTAATTTAACGATGAAAATCTGGAATTTATGAAACTAGGGTGTAAACTTGCTAGTTCACTAAACCTTGGGTGGGAACATGCATGTATATATATATAGGGGTGGAAAAATCCGGTTAACCGGATTCTTAAACCGAACCGAATTTCGGTTCAAAAAAATTATTGAACTGAAACCGGTCCAGTTTAGATTAAAAATCGGTTATAAATCGAACCGAAAATTCGGTTCGGTTAACCGGTTTTAAACCGGTTATATATTGGACTGCATTTTTTGGCCCAATTATGAATTATGGGTTGCATTTTTCGGCCCAATTCGGTCACACTCCTCTTTGGTCCATTTTTTTTCCAATTTTTTTTTTATTTGAATTAAAATTATATTTATTATAATTGAATAATTTGAATTCATAAAGTTTTAATGTACATCAAATATTAATAATTTAAAATTACAAATCAAAGATTGCAAAAACAGATACATGATACAGACTCTGATTTCAAATTATAAAATGCACAAAGACATTTACAAATCAAACATATCCAAACTAAAAAATAGTCCCCTATTGCCAACTTAGTCTTCACCCTAAAATTACAAATCAAACACATGAATAAAATAAGAAACATATTTCCAGAAAATCTAAATCAAACACATGATTAAAATTTAAAACTAGCAAATACATTTCTTAAAACTTTAGGATCTTTGGTGAACAAAGTGGCCAACGATCCAAAAGATACCCCCAAAATTGCAGCCAAGGAAATGCACTTCAAGTTTTAAAATAAATATAAAATCCTGCACATCCAGCACATGAACCTAGAAATCTAGGCTAAAACCTGATAGTTTCAGCACCAGAAACCAAAATGAGAAATCATACAGCAAGCTTACCTTTAACACGAAATTGGTAACTTCTCTGACAGTCTTGAAGTCACCTTTAGATATGTAACTTGCAATCAAGACCTACATTTAGAATATATTTTTTTTTTTTGGTCAATAAAACAGCAACTCATGTTAAAGCATCGTGAACTGGTAAAACTTTCAACAATCAACTGTGTTCAAACAATGTTCAAGTTGACTTAACATGCAAAAGTAACTAGCATTATTAATTTTTTTGGATATTTAAAGTATCAATTTATTTATTTCTTTGGCTATATTTTAATCAAATATGATATCAAAAAATGAAATAAATAAGCAGAAGATGGCAAAGAAAAAGTGAAGATTCTTAAGCTTTTATCAATTATGCCAACCATCGCCAAGAAGAAGAAGACAAAAAACATTTAGCTATAAAATATAAATATACATATTTATATATATTAGTATTTCCTTTTTTGAACAATACAAAAAAAAAAAAAAATTAGATTCGATCAATTTAACTGTTATTCATATATACCCCAACATTTTTTTTTTTTATTTTAATTTTCTTTTTGAACAATTTGCATTTTTAGAAATCAATTAAATTAGAACTTAGAACACCAAAGCCACGAAAGCTGCAACAACAAAACTCAAACCCTCGTACACTCTTGAAGCTCCAGAAGCAGGAGCAACCGGAGTTTCTTCCTTAGTGGGTGCCGGTGGCGAACTAACCGGTGCTTCATCAGGTGCGTCAACGGGTGCCGGTGCGGGTGCCTCAATGGGCGCCTCATTTGGTGCGTCAATTTCGTCTTCATCTGAGCCGGGGGAGTCGGCTGTCTTATTAGAAGAAGAAGAAGACTTAGGAGGCTGAGCTGGGGGTGGAGTGTAGGGTGGTGGTGGTGGTGGAAGAATAACTTCACCAATACCAGGAGCCACAATGGGTTGACTCACTTGTAAAACAGAAACATTAAATGGCTGAGCATAAACAGCTTTAACTAATTTGGCAACAGGAACTGCACCTTTTACAGCTGAACCAAACACAAATTGTTCACCAGGCATACGTGTCACATTCAAAAACCCTTGTCCTTTTTCCGCCACACCAGTTGTTTGATACAATGTAGTAACGATTACACTCTTTTGAAGTTTTCTCAGTTTTTTCATATCATAATAATCAAGAATAACATGATCACTCAAAATCTTCTGAACCTCATCGATGGGTCTGCTTTGAATACCCGCCAGAGAGCTGTTATCAACAGCAAGAATGGTAATGGTTCGGCGATTAGCAATTGATTCAGCAATTTTTGTTTGTGTAAGAAGGTCATTAAAACCAATCAAATCAGGGTATCTATTTAGAAGCTCTGTAACGTCGAAAGATTCAACATTGACAGAGATGAAGAAGACAAAAAGAGTTACGAGAACAGGACAAGAGGCTTTGGGATTCATAGTTTTTTCTTTTTTTACAATTGAATCCCTTTGTCTCCGAAATATTTGATCGATGAGTTTAGAATAAATATGAGAGTGGTGTATATATATTGAGAGAAAGTGCAACTAAAATTGGGTTAACAAAACTTGGACGTTAGAATTTGATTGGTGAGAGTAAATTTCTCTTCCAAATAATACGTGTTTCTGTTTGGATATATGAATTTTGAGATTTGAGAATATTGTCCGAAATGGCTGGATCTTACTCACCCCATCCATATTTTTATCATAAATATGTGTCATATATTAATGAATGAGTGACCATTATTTAATCATATGCTTCGTTTATCATGGTTTTAAAACCTGAATTGGACCAGTTGGTTCGACTTGAGACTGGCCCCTTAACAGAGTCAAGGCTCTGGTCCAGGTTATAAAACATTGTTATTTATACGGAATTTCTTTAGTATTTTGAATCACAGTTTGATGTATGCAAGCCATTAATTCATTGATCAAATTTGCTTAGTCAACTTAGGATTTACATACGCTTAGGCCTGTAGCAGTAACACACTCTAATTTTCATCGCGAGAAAATGAAGATTTATGGGGTGCGTTTGGTTTATTATTTTGGATATGATTTTGAGGATAGCATTGGATAATTAAATATGAGAGTATTACGAGGTAAAATTTAAAAATTTATAAAAAAAACCTCATAAGTTTGCTAATTTAATAAATACCCCAATATGTAAAATGATAAAAATACCTCCACCACCTACAGTGCCAGATTCTAGCCACGGAATTTGGCCAGAAAATCGCGTTATGATACAGACCAGTCAGATTTGTGTCGTTAACTCGTTATGACCTTTTCCTGCCAGATCCACCACGGATCTGACCAGAAAAAGCCAGATTTAAGGCCTACCGTGGCCGTCGATGGCCGAAAAAGGCCAAAACGACGGCCAAAGATATGGCTGTCGTTTTCGGTCAACGATGGCCATTTCTTTGGCCGTCGTTCACGGCCAGATCTGGCCTTTCCGGTCAGATCTGTGGTGGATCTGGTAGGAAAAAGCCAGATCGGTGAACTTTCAGCCATTTATGGTCGTCAGGTAGGCCTTTGTACAGATTCCGGCTACTACTGATGGTGGTTGCCGAAATCTGGCAAGTATGGGTCGCAGGGGTGTTTTTGATAATTTTTAAACTTTTTTTTTAGGGTGTATTTGATGAAATTAATAACCTTATGGAGTCTAAAAGTAATTAAAAAATAGGGTAATATTTCTGGAATAACGTGCCAAACATTATTTGGAGAATATGATTGGGAATAGGGATAAAAATAATAAGCCAAACATGTGGCTTATTATTTTAGTTAAGAAACCGAAGAGAGACGATAAATAAAATAATACCGGCAGCATAAACATTTTGGTACTGTTAATTTTTAATCTATGATGACTTTAAATAATAATACAGTATAAAACCAGTAATGCACATTAGCAAAAACAAAAACTTTCGACCACTGTTAATTTATTGGAACAATTTATCTCAAAACCTTCAATACACAAAATAATTAAATTATATTATCGCTTACAAGGAATTGTTGACACGTGTTATTCTAATACATTTAACATAATTTCATATTCCAATATTACACATTATTTTACGTAATTTACAGCCCCATTAGTTCCCTCTAAAGTCCAACAAAATACAATCAACCCCATCAAAACTGCAACAGCACACCCGAACCCAAAGCACATGGAGCACCAGAATCAGCCCGCCCTCTCCCTGGCGCTGCCGCTGTATTCCTAGTATCCTCCTTACCTTTAGCAGTTGCTGGAGGTGGCGCCTTACGAGTCATCGGAGACGGTGCCGGTGCCGTTTTAGAGGGTGGAGGAGGTGGAAGAGTAGTATACGGTGCAGGTGCACTAATTCCAGGCGCCACAATACTTCGACTAATTTGTAACACAGAAATATTATATGGCTCGGCATATACAGATTTCACAAAACTAGCCGCAAGCGGTGAATCTTGCACTTCTGAGCCGAACAAAATAGTATTACCTGACACTGTAACATTCAAGAACCCTTGTCCCTGTTGAGCTACAACAGATGCCTGTAACAATGTAGTCATAGTTGTTGTCTTGTTTGGTAGATTTTTAAGTTTATTTTGGTCTATGTAATCAAGAAGAACATGGTTCGTCAATATTCTTTGGACTTTATCATTAGATTTGCCTTGAAGAGATCCCACAGCTCCATTATCCAAAGCAAGAATTGTAAGGCTTGAGCGGCTGTTGATCGTTTCAGCAAGTCCACTCTGCGATAGAAAGTTATTAAAGGAACCAAAATCAGAGGTATTGCTAAGGATCTTGGTGATGTTGAACGCATTTGTTAAGCTTGAAGTGAATAGAGCTACCAAGAGGACACAAGGAGCAAGGGCTCGGAGACTCATCTTTTAATTAATTTTGATTTTTTTCAACTTCCATTAATCATCTTTTGAGATATCAGTGGAATTAACTTCAGTTCTATTGATATTTTTATCATCAAGATGCCTTGACAAACATCCTTCCACTTGTTAAATACTCTGTTTCTTTTTCTCCCAAACACAATTCCACTTTGTTTTTCCACACTACTTTTCTCTTCCTTTTATCCTCATACTCAAATCTCTTAGTTCAATTTCTTCAAAGTAATGGACAATTGATACCAGCAAGTGTTCTCAACTAAGAGGCCACAGCCAATTCATAGATCATCACCTTCATCTTTAAACACAAAATCATTAACATTGTTTACAAAAGCCTCAACCATTTCATTGCTCCCACATAGACAATAATAGCAAATTTTACAGTAAATCTCAAGAACACTACTAAACTAATGCTAGAATCTATAAACTGATTGCAATAAATTCCAAATTCACAAACAAAAGCTTCATAAATTGTAAAACAAGCAACTCATCAATAGCAAACGAAGTCTAAATCAGAATAAGTAAAATTTTTGTTACATCTTTTAACATACCACAATAATTTGTGAGAAAATATATACTTGGACAGTTAAAATACCATTTCCCTACATGAATGTTGCAAATATCCAATCATCAGATTCCAAAAATATATGTGTATTTAATCGAAAAATGAACAGCAAAATGCCCTTATTGAGTCCAAAAATGGGGGAAGATTAAAATAAACTAGAAACTTTAAAACAGAAAAATTAATAGAAGAATATAATAAATGGGTTTCATTAAACATTGAATCATCATTCTGACACTAGGGCAAGCTGTAAAAGTAAAGACCCATATTTACCTATGTACACAAAACACCCTCTTCTAATATAATTCTCAAGTATATCTGAAACCATAAAATGATGGAAGCATGTAGCTGTTAGTGGGACTCCGCCATGGAACAACTAGAGCCCCTTTCAACTACACATCAATGAAGGAAAAATCTCTCTATATGAGGGAGTAGAGCCTCCAAGAAGAAGATATACAGAGGGTTTTTAAATCAAAAGAATTGGCCTCCTTTTCATTATTCCCATAAGTTTAAATAAACCTAATATACGAATTGTTGACTTACTAAAAAGCCGCTCGAAACATAATACTAAAAGAACACACAATATAAATATTACTAAATAGCAGCTACTCCATAAAAGGTCTGTTAAAGAAAACCAATCTTCCTACTTGCTCACAACATAATCTTTGGATCATCCAGGCAACTTTCGAATACTCCTCAAAGGCTCCCTTCGCTACATATCCTCTGTTGCACATTCGTACAGCCTCAGCACAAAAATTCAGTGAATAATGAACACGTCTGTCAGCCATCTAAAAATATTTGTAACCTGAGAATTAATATGAGAATTTTCTCCAACTACCCCATTCATTAAAAGGAAAAAGAATGATTATAAGAGAATTTGATTGCCCTCTTGCAGAAAAGACCATAGAACTGAACTAGATAGTAGCATACTTGTTTCATGACATAAATTCATTGGAACTTATAAAGTCACAAACATAAAGATACACAGCAAAGTCAATCAATTATCAGCAATCCTGCCCTACCTGCAACAGTATCACACATTTGACCACAACAGGCAGCAGCTGCTCGGTTGGCATGTTAGTTTAGAAAGGAATGGACTGCGCTCCCTTCTACGCTTCACATTCTGTCCTCCTGAAGTAGCTCCTCAATCTTTGCTGTGCTTAAAATAAAATACTAAAATTTCTTTAAACTAACAATAAATTACTAATTGTACCTTACCAAAAAAAAAAAAAAGTACAATGTTTTTAAAAGGAATAATATTTATTTGTGAGTTATTTTAATCTTAATAAATAAAACTCTTTTACTCTAATACTAGAGTGATCATATGAGTGCCAAAGTTTCTTTTCTTAACTTTAGGAGGAAAGATCTATTAAGGATGTCAGATTAAGAATTTAAGTCTATTTTTCACATTGGTTAGGAAGTGAAAAAAATTCCAATACATACTTTGATTGCAATAACATTTGATACATTTTGATCCATAACATGAATGAATTAAGATGATTCTGCAAATGATATCCAAAAAAACATAATAATATTTTCATATCAAAGCAGTTCTCTATAAAAATGATAATTAATAATGACAACTTAAATTATAGTTTCACTATTACCAAAAACAATGTAGCATCCTCGTACGCGATACATATAACCAATTCTTCTCATCGGAATAAATATCTTTCAACTTGTTCACCTATTGAACAATAAAGAACTAATTAGTTAATTAACTTATGATATGTAATCTGATTACGGTCAATCACTTCCACATAATAATAGGCAAATTAGATATATAGAACTAAGAAGTAATTTAGAGTCAAGACTTACAAGTATATGTATAAAACAAAAGCAGAGATAGGTTAGGTTCATCATTTGTGGGTTGCGGCTACATTCTCCAGGATGCAATAAAATCTTGAGGAAATTCATTCAAATCCAAGTAGTAAGTCTACTAGTGTACCATAGTAGCTACTTGAAATGCCACAATATTGTTGTTCTTCGCATGATAGTCAATTCGGTTAATTGTGGCAACATTCACCATTGCTCAACAATATCTTGAGGGGTTCATTCAAACCCAAAGAATAAGCTACTAAATTGCCTATCATATGTGGTGGAACCACCACAAATTGTTTTCCTCATCGCAACAACCACTTCTGTTTATTGTCGCAACATTCACCATTGATTCAACACAATCTTCAGGGGATTGATTCAAATCCAGTAAAATACCACAAGTTGTGGTTCATCATCAGCAGGTACTTCTATTTGACCGACCACATTAGAGTCAGCATAGCTCGGCTTAATTGTAGCACTATTCACTGCTGGTCCAATAGAAAGTTTAAGTGGACTACAAAATAAAGCATAAAGAAAAAATTAGAAATATCCCAACACAACTCAAGCCTTTCAATCCGTATAGATACCGAACTAAATTAATGAATAATAGAAATATCCCAAACTAATCTTACACATAAGAGCATTTGAACCTAAGCATAAGTTCTACACCATATATATGATTTTGGATCCAAATTGTATTTTATATCAATTCTACTAAAGCTAAAAATAGTGCATTGAACCGAAACATATGATTTTGTATAAACTAAACTTAAACATAACAATGTCTCTGCTTGATTTATTAATTTATGATTCAAGAAGTTTTATGATTAAGGTAAGTTATTTTCTCTTTGAGTGATTCTCTCATTTTTATTTTAGAGCTATTGTTAATTTTGAGAATTTTTTATTTTTTTCAAAATTTATTGAAATTGAGCACTAGTTATAAAAAAAATATTGAAAAGCCCAAGCAAGCCATTACCATTGTTAAGTTTAAGAGGAAGATTTTTCACCCAAGAAAAAAAAAAAAAAAATTAAGAGGAAGAGAAAAGTACTCTAAACCCCTTGAGGTATCCCCAAAATTAATCCCCTGTTGTTCGTCTTTACTTTCAAAAGAAGAGTGGTAAAAGAGTAAATTCAATTTAATTTAAAACATAAGAAATAAAATCTAAAATAAAAAACCTAAACCTTGAATTAACAAAAGTTAAAATGCCCATATCAACTCTCTCTTACCCCGCGGCATCTATCTCTCTCCGCTACTCAACCCAGCCACCGTCGCCTCCCACCCCCATCTCCAATGCGCCTGCCCTAAACCCTCACCCACCCTGTCCACACATCGCAACCCCCCACGTCGACCTAGCCACCGTGTTGGACTCTCCTACCCTGAGCAAGCCGCTAAGGTTGGGCCCTTCCAGACCCCAGCCCGTAACCCCCAACTCCGTCGCACGTTGTTCCACCCAATGTCCATGATTTTTGTTGTCTTTGAACGGGTTTAGCTGCTCAAGTGTTTCTGTAGCCCATTCTTTGTTTTGTTTTCTGAATATGTTTTTGTGGGATGAGATTCTTCCAAGTTTGCTTTGTTCTTGTTCATATCAATGGTGAACTTTTTGCTATGCTAGAGATTTTGTTGTTGCATTGATTGGTGATTGAGTGTTTTTATTATTTTGGAAACAAAAGTGTTTTCTTGGTTTGAGTTTTAGAATTTTGATTTGATATGTTGCTTGGAATTTTTTTTTATGTTTGTTGAGAAGGAGGCCAGATTTTGTAACTTTTTAATTTTTTTATGATTTAAATTATTTGCCCTGATGATATAATGTTTTATTGTAGAAGTATTTTATATTAACGAAAATAAAGATTCTCTTGAAAATTATTGGGAATATTTAGAAAATGTGTTTAATTGATTCGAATAAATTAGTTAATAATATGTTGGATTGGGAGGATAAACGGATAGGTATGAATAAATCAGTTAATAATATGTTTGACTAGGAGGATAAATAAATAAATATATTATGTAAATTATTAAATTACCCTTATTTTTAAATATAAATATAATAGTATCTTTTATTATTATTTATTGAATATTTTTTTTAACCTCCTATATTTGAAATTTTGCTAAAACACCCTTATCATATAAAACTTTAATTTATAGTAAAATCACCCCCACCAATAGCCAGCCACCAACGTCAACCATCGCCGAAATCAACGGAATGGCTGTATATGGCCGACCGTGCGTCGGCAAAGCTAGAAATTGCCATGGATCACAAATCCATGACCGAAAAACGGCTAGATCTATGGCCATTTCAAGGCCATAGATCCGACCTTTGCATGACCATAAAAACGCTAGATCTAGCTGTTTTCGGCCATGGATATGTGATCCATGGTCGGAAAAGGATTTACTGATGCACGACCGGCTAGATCGAGCTGGTCGTGCACCATTACGTTGACTAACGCCAGTGGTTGACAACGGTGAGTCACGGTCGAAGGTAGTCATGGGTGGCTGGGGGTATTTTGTTTACTTTTAAACTTTTTGTGGTTGGGGTGTTTTAGCAAATTTATCAAATATAGGGGTGCTAAGAATTTTTACTTGGTAGACATTTGAGGGCAATTATGTCCGAAACGGTTTTTAATAAGAGCAAAATAGCAAGAAAAATCACATTACTTCGGTAATGTTTTAATAAAACCCCCTAGCAAGATAATAAGATTACTCCTCACATTACCAACAGTAACCATTATTTGTAATAAAAGATTACCGAAATATTTTATTACTTATAAACCAAACACAAAAGTCTTGCAAAATAAACAAATATATCCAAACGGCACCTCAAAATTTTCTAGAAGCGTCCTTGGCTACTTTATTCTTAAACAACATTTTCATTATTTTGATGTATTCATGTGCCCAATGAATTTAACAACAAAATATATTTCTTTATACTAAAATTGAAAATATATTCTTAAAAATATATATTTTTAAGAATCCCATAATCATATTCCATTGACGAAAAAATGAATTAAGAAAATAAAAACTAATCATATAATTAAAATGAGGTGTAGGAGGAAAACTTACTATTTTCGTAGTTGCATATTTTCAATTTCTTGGAGCGAGGTTCAGTTGTATCAATCACCGTTGATTGCTGTTTATCTTTCTCTTTCTCTTTTCCTTTCTTTCTAGCACTGTCAACACTTGTTCTGGATGTTTTCGATGGTTCTCCATAATTGTCAACATACAATAAATGGATCCCACATTTTTTTATCTCCTTCTCGCCAGCATCAAATTTGATGAGCACTTTTCTATTCGAAATTTGATCATCTTCTGAATCAATTTGATCATCTTCTAAATCGCACACTTCAAACGCCTCTTTCATTACAGAATGGAATAATACATGATCTGAGTCTGACGGGATATAAGTGATATAACCCGGATAAAATCTAAGGAGCTCATCCTCACTAAGATTACTGTCCATAACATGAAGTCCACTGTCATTGCGATAAAGTTGTTCCTTACCATCTTCGCTTTTGACCAAGCATTTGCAGGTAAAGCAATAATCTTCTAAAAGGTCAACCTCTTCTTGACAACAAAAAACAACATATGTCAAAAAACCTATAAAGTTTTTATCATGCCAATCCAGTGACTGATCAAGAGATATAGAAGATCCAGTATTTTGAAAGGTAAACCACTTAGGAATTTCATTTCCAGAGAAACAGATATTAGCACAAAATTCTCGACAAGATCCTTGTACCAATGCAAATGAAAATCATCACTCATAACATAGTTTAAGTTTTAGATTTTCTTTTTTCTTTTCTATTACTTTTAAAAAACAACTAACATCATAAAACAAAAGAAAGGATCGAATGAGATACCTCACGGAGAGTTTTAGGAAATTCATTTCCAAGGAAACAAATATTAGCACAAAATTTTCCATAATATCCCTGTACCAATGAAAATGAAAATCTTCACATCATAACATAGTTTTAGATTCAGATTTTGTTTTGTTTTTTCTATTACTTTTAAAAAACAACTAACATCATAAAAAAGGATAAAGGATCAAAAGAGGTACCTCATAAATAATTTTAGGTAAATCCAATTTCAAGCAATTGGTAAAAGTTGCCATCCGTGGTCTCCAATAAGGTAACAATAGAAATGATGGATCTGATATTGATTCCAAGGATGAGCAGTCAGATGCTGCCACATTTACACCCATTGGAAGCTTTGGCAAAACTTGAAGTCTAGGACAATTACGTATGTCTAGGAAGTACAAGTTAGAAAACCCTTTGATGTTTTCTGGTATGCACTCAAAATTATTTCCACTTAGACATAACCTTTCTAGAAAGGATAATAGTCTAAGATTGTCAGGTAATTTGGTCATTTGACAATTAGTCAAATCAAGTGATACCAAAGAGCTCGAACCTGATGAACAATTCAGTACCCAATTCAAAGGTGCCGGTTCATCAACATATCGTCTTGGGTGTAAACATTTAAGGTTTGGCAAGTTTAAAATGGATGATGGTACTTCTTTTAAGACTGTATCAATACATAAGAGATCCTCCAAAGTCATCTGGTAATCTTTCCAGTTTGTAGCACCAGTTAAGATTAAGCACTTTGAGACATTTCAACTTACAGATGCTGCTTGAAAGATTCTCAAGCGATGAACACTGTGCAAGATCCAACTCAACTAGTCCAGATGGATGTTCGATGAAGGGTGATTCTTTTATTGCAGTGTTCCTTAATTTTAAAATTTTCACCTTACATGAGATCTTTGGAGCTATCTTGAGCGCATAGCAGTAACTGAGATTAATAGAATTTGATTGAATGCCATCTGGTAAGCTAATAAGCCTTGAGCAATATCTTAGATCCAACTTATTAAGCTTATCGAAATTTTGAATAGAAGAGGGAATGATCTCCAACAAACTTGAACAACCCACTAAAATCAATTTCTTAAGATTTGAGGACTTTGAGAGATTTGGAATCTCTATCATGTGTTTGGAGAAACTGAGATCAACATATTTCAAATTTATAAGATTCTGAAAGAAAACAAAAAAATGACCAACTTAAGTTAGTGCCTTGTATTGTTATAATCTTCAACAAAGAGACCACCATATAAATACCAAAATATATACATACCTGAACACCGTTCCAATGCTTAACTTTGCTATGTCGCATATCAAGTGTAACAAGACTCTCTGAAGGAAAACTTAATGGCAATGATTCATATGGGTAATCATTCCAACCGAAGAATGTTATGTCATTGGGAAAGGATTCAACTTCTTCAAAACCATCCAACTTATTTTCATAACTATCTCGGCGTTCTGGGTTGTCTTCTCCCAAAAATATTGCATGAAGTTCTATGGAATCATCCAACCTATTTTCATAATTATCTTGGCATTCTGAGTTGTATACTTTGAAGAATGTTAAGTTATCCATCCTTGACAAAACATTACAATATAAGCGTGGATAACTGATTTTAGATATGTCTAACTTTATGCATCGTATTGCTTCAGTTCCCTACAGTCAACAGAGATGATCAGTTGGCATACAAGATACTTCCATTAAATCAAACTAATTAAAAATACTCTAATGAACAGAAACATTGAGCTAACTAAAACAAATAAAGATTACAAATTTCAGCATCATAGAATAAAATAAATAGAAAATAACAACAATTCAATAAGATAATAATAACAACAAAAACAAAAACAATAATAATATTAGTTTTTGAAAAGTAAGACGTACTATGTATACGAAAGATAAAAACATATATATAATATATTTCTTTTTGATGTTTTTATGCTTTCTTTGAATCAAAGACGTGTTATTTTATATAAAATCTGAACTAGGAGAGTGAGACTACATGAAAGGAAATAACTAATTGTATAACAATAAACAATTTACAAAAAGAAAAAAATGTAAATATAGAAGCTCCAGCTTTAAGGAAAATAAAAATATAATATGATAATATTTTTCTTTTTTTGGCAAACCTACGGTACGAGGAAGACTTCATTAGAAATAAAATAATAATAATAATAATAAAAAGGATACCATGATCTCTCATTAGATATCCTTAAACTAGACATTAATTTAAAATTCCTGTAAAAATGTAACCTCACTCTCAAAGCTATCTATCTATTTATAAATATGTATAGCTAAACCTTACCTTGTATTTTTTAAATACTTTCAAGATATCCTCGTGATGCCATAATCGAATGTCTTCATGATCTTGAGCAATTTTCTTACCCATTTCTTGAAGCAAATCATGCATTGTTATTTCATTTTTCCATGTCATAGACAAAAGACACTTATCAACAAGAACTTCTATCTCGCAACCATTTAGGGTTTCTATCACTAAATATTTAGGTTCCCCTTTGAAGAAACATGCAATATCTAAAAATAAAACCTTCTGTGCATCATCTAGTCCATCATAACTAACTTTTAAGACATTATGAATATCCGGTGGAGGACCTTTTTCTAGTTTACTTATTGTACTTTCCCAAAAAAATGTTCCCTTGGAAGACAAATGAGAACCCAACACTTTAAGAGCCAATGGAACGCCTTTGGAGTATGCTACTACTTTGTTTGATAGCTTAATATCATCTTCAGTAGGAGAGTGTTGTTTAAAGGCATATTGATTAAAAAGTTGATGAGCTTCCTTCCCACGTGATCCCCTTGTTGGAGTTGTCGACTACTTCAGCATTAATGGGTAACGGAGACGCAATCGGGGGTCCATGTATAACCGCTGTAGGATTCCTTTTAAGTTATTAATTCCTTTTGGGTTGGGCTTAGGAATAGGAATTCTTGTAAAACTAGGTTTAATCCCTTAAACCTAGTATATAAACATACTTTTCTCTTGTTATGGGTGTGAGAACAATTCATTCATTGTAAACGAGAGAGGTGAGGCATATTGCAAATAATATTGACTCAGCTGGACGTAGCCTACATTGGGTGAACCAGGGTAAATCGCGCGTATTACTTTCTTTGTTTACTGTTTGTTTTGTTTAACTATTATTATTTTGTTCCTGTTGCTTCTCTATTTTGTTCACCCCTAACCTCATATATATAAGCATCAGCTACTCCACAACTTCTTAACACTTGTTTATCCCTCGTTGTTATGATAATTCTACTTTTTGGGCTCAACTGATTAAGATTTCCGATCAATTTTTCTATTTGCAGTAAAGATGTCACATCATCAAAAACAATGAGAACCTTCTTTTTTTCAAATATTGTAACGTTGAGTCTGTATCGAGATTAGGATTTTTATTATCTAAAATTGTGGAAAGAAGTTCTTGTTTCAAGTGAGTTAATCTGCAATATTTCTCACACTCTTCCCTAACATTTTCAGCAAAATAAGATCCTTCAAAATTACGACAGATTTCGTTGAATACAACACGGGCAATAGTTGTCTTGCCAATACCACCTATGCCCAAAATTCCTATTACGGAAACACCATTTGATCCCTTGTTCAACAAAGACTTTATTTCCTCTTTTAAAAATTTTATTCCAACCAGACCTTTATAATCAGTTGGAGACAATTTATTTAGTCTTTTCAAAATGTCGCCTGAAATTTTATCAATAAGATCAGCTTCATACCTAGTAAATAGAAAGAAATAAAAAACAAAGATTAATTACTTAGGATAAGTAAATCAAAATAAGACAAACAAAGAAATAATTCTTGTTTATGTCACTAAAAAATTATCCAAAAAGAAAAATTATAGGGTTCTTCCTCCATTCTTGAACGTGGGAATAAATTTCTTCAGTTAATAAAATCATCACTTAAAAAAAAAAAACTGTTAATTTCATTTGTTGGTAAAAGAAAAAAAACAATTGTAATTCTTGGGGACTAAAAGGAAAGAAGATGACAAAAACCAATACAAACATTTTAAAAAAGGGATCTTGTTAGATGTATAAATTCCTGCGATCAATAAAATAAATTCACATAATTTCTCTGTTAAAAAATAATTATGTTTAGTTAGGCTTAATTCAAATCGGTTGCGTGAAAATATTTAATTCACCGAAAAATAATATTTTAACTAAAGTAATATTGATGAGTACAAAATTATATCAGATTAACACTTACGTTTCTGCATTTATAGTCCAACCAGATAGACCAGCTGCTTTATTCAACGCGCCCTTCCATCTTTTCAGCATCTCCGGTTCTTCCTTAAAACGGTCTTGAAGTTCAGCAAATCCCTTCTCAAAACTCCCTGTTTGGTTTCTTACATGAGATGGGTCTACATGATAGAAAATTGGTATAACAATCTGCTGCTTCCTTTCCATGCAATCAAGAATCTGTTCAAGTTCTTGGAGACACCATCTTGAAGACCCATACTTTTGTGAGAAAATGATAATAGAAATCTTCGATGCTTTAATTGTATTCAAAAGAGCTGATGAAATCTCATCTCCTCTTATCAGATCCTTATCAACGAAAGTTTCAATCTTATTGCGACACAAAGCCGCATGGAGATGGCTTGTAAAATTATAGCGGGTGTCTTCGCCTCTGAAACTAAGAAAGACATCATAGTTCTTCAATTGAGGAGTGGCTGAAGATGAAGAAGCAGCCATCCAACTCCACTGATGAAAGACTTTTTAGATCTGTTTAAGTTTGTAGACAATCTATGTATAAGAGAAAACCTACTCAGGGGCGGATTTAATTAATGGCAAGTGGGGACCACGGCCCCCACTTAATATTCATTAGCATCATGAGTGATACAAGAAGACACTCATAAAAGATCGATGTTAAACATAAATATGTGTCATTATGATGCTAACGGTGCTGCTAAACTTGCTATCAGCGATGGTCACCGGTGACTGTCACCAACAATAGTCGGGTGGATGTTTGTTGACAATTTACTTTTTAATATATTTTTTAGTATTTATTAAAATGTTGTAAAAATTAAAAATAAAAATAAAGAAAGAAATAACATAGACCCTTTTTTGTTATCACATATTCATAAACAATTTGAAAATCTATTTTACCAAAAACATATTTATAGTTTTTGAAACTTACAAGTATAAAAGTATATAAAATTTACTAAGTACACTCTAAATTATTTATAAAATTGATAATTTGTAAAATTAGATAAAAATAATTAGATTGAAGGGTACAACCTAAAATAAAATTTGGAAATTTTAGATGGAAAAGATTTGTTTGAACTTGATTGAGAAAAGATTTAATGAGTGAATGTTTGGTGTATTTATAGCTGCATGGTTATATGTTGAATTATTGGTGCATGTCATTTCATGGAAGCTTCATTATTAATTGCAAAAGGTGAGATCTAATGCTATGACCACATACATGCCCACAATTGATTGTGACTCCAATTTAATCTAAAGATTGGTTTGAATTAAGAGACATAACATCAAATCAAATTAGTCTAAAGATTATTATCATATGCTTGCACTTTCTCTTGTGGATGGCATTCCTAAATCCTAAACGACAAGTTTTCAATTTTTTTTTAAAATTTTATATAAATGATTAGTTTTAGTTAAATAAGTATTTGTATGAAATAATGGAGGTATTTTGATAATTAATAAATACTTTATAGATTATAACTTAAGAAATAAGTGATGGAAAGTCGGCCGGCAGGTAGAATTAGGTGAATGTTTGTATTTTCTTCTTGGATGGTTTCATGTATTCATGTTTATCCTAAGCTCTCTCTCTCTCTCTCTCTCTCTCTCTCTCTCTCTCTCTCTCTCTATATATATATATATATATATATATATATATATATATATATACACTTTTAATTTATAAGCCAAATTGCATTAAATGAATGAGCGACCATTATTTTATCGTATGCTTCGTTTATCAGGGTTTTAAAACCTAGATTGGACCAGTTGGTTTGACTTGAGACTAGCTCCTTAACCGAGTCAAGGCTCCGGTCCGGATTATAAAACATTGTCATTTATATGAAATTTCTTTAGGATTTTGAATCACAATTTGATGTATGCAAACCATTAATTCATTGATCAAATTTGCTCAATCAACTTAGGGTTTATGTACGTCCCGACATGTAGCGGTAACACACTCTAATTTCCATCGCGAGAGAATGAGGATTTATGAATTTTTTAGTTAAGAAACCAGAGAGAGACGATAAATATAATAATACTGCCGGCAAAAACATTTTGGTACTGTTAATTTGTAATCTATGATGACTTTAAATAATAATACAGTATAAAACCAGTAACGCACATTAGCAAAAACAAAAACTTTCGACCACTGTTAATTTATGGGAACAATTTATCTCAAAACCTTCAATACTCGAAATAATTAAATTATATTATTGCTTACAAGGAATTGTTGATGCGTGTTATTCTAATACATTTAACATAATTTCATATTCCAATATTACACATTATTTTACGTAATTTACAGCCCCATTAGTTCCCTCTAAAGTCCAGCAAAATGCAAAATCAACCCCATCAAAACTGCAACAGCAGCACCCGAACCCAAAGCACATGGAGCACCAGAATCAGCCGGCCCTGGCCCTGGCGCTGCCACTGTATTCCTACTATCCTCCTCACCTTTAGCAGGTGCTGGAGGTGGGGCCTTACGAGTCATCGGAGACAGTGCCGGTGCCTTCTTTTAGGGAGGAGGAGGTGGAAGAGTAGTATACAGTGCAGGTGCACTAATTCCAGGCGCCACAATACTTCGACTAATTTGTAACACAGAAAAATTATATGGCTCGGCATATACAGATCACAAACCTAGCCGCAAGCGGTGAATCTTTCACTTCTGAGCCGAACAAAATATTATTACCTGACACTGTAACATTCTAGAACCCTTGTCCCTGTTGAGCTATACCAGATGCCTGTAACAATGTAGTCATAGTTGTTGTCTTGTTTGGTAGATTTTTAAGTTTATTTTGGCCTATGTAATCAAGATTCAAGAACAACATGGTTCGTCAATATTCTTTGAACTTCATCTTTAGATTTGCCTTGAAGAGATCCCACAGTTCCATTATCTAAAGAAAGAATTGTAAGGCTTGAGCGGCTGTTTTTAAAGGAACCAAAATCAGAGGTATTGCTAAGGATCTTGCTGATGTTGAACGCATTTGTTAAGCTTGAAGTGAATAGAGTTACCAAGAGGACACAAGGAGCAAGGGCTCGGAGACTCATCTTTTAATTAATTTTGACTTTTTTCAACTCAGGCCTCTGCTGATTTGCTGAAAGAAAAGTCTTGAGGCTGTTTATATATCAACATAGAAAGCTAAAATTAGTATTAATTAATAAATAATTCATTAACAAATCCTTTCATGTTGTAAGGTGGCAGTGAAATTTATTCCCCAAGACTAGTACAGAGGAAGTTTAATTAACTTAATTTAACAAGTTTCACTGATTTAGCCATCGTCGGCAGTGAAAGGTGAGTTAAAAGAAAGCCAACTTTTTGTGTAGTAGTGGTTCTAGTGGCAGGCATGGAGCTGGTGGAGGTCCAGGTATAGGTGGTGCCATTCAGGTGGAATTGCACCAGCTAACCGAAAAGATCTGGGATTTGGATTCGAAGAGGAAAGTGTATTTTCGTCATACTTAAATTTATATTATCGCTTACCAGGAATTGTTGATACGTGTTAATTTTTAATCTATGATGACTTTAAATAATAATATAAACCAGTAATGCACATTAGCAAAAACAAAAACTTTAACTACTATATTTATTGGAACAATTTATCTCAAAACCTTCAATACTCAATAATTAAATTATATTATCGCTTACCGGAATTGTTGATACGTGTTTTCTCTTCATTTAACATAATTTCATATTCCAATATTACACATTATTTTACGTAATTTACACCCACTAGTTCCCTCTAAGTCCAACAAAATGAAATCAACCCCATCAAAACTGCAACAGCAGCACCCGAACCCAAAGCACATGGAGCACCAGAATCAGCTGGCCCTGGCCCTGGCGCTGCCGCTGTATTCCTACTATCCTCCTCACCTTTAGCAGTGCTGGAGGTGGCGCCTTACGAGTCATCGGAGACGGTGCCGGTGCCTTTTTTTAGGGAGAAGGAGGTGGAAGATAGTATACAGTGCAGGTGAACTAATTCCAGGCGCCACAATACTTTGACTAATTTGTAGCACAGAAATATCATATATGGCTCGGCATATACAGATTTCACAAACCTAGCCGCAAGCAGTGGATCTTCACTTCTGAGCCGAGCAAAATATTATTACCTGACACTGTAACATTCGAGAACCCTTGTCCCTGTTGACTACACCAGATGCCTGTAACAATGTATCATAGTTGTTGTCTTGTTTGGTAGATTTTTAAGTTTATTTGGTCAATGTAATCAAGAACAACATGGTTCGTCAATATCTTTAAACTTCATCTTTAGATTTGCCTTAAAGAGATCCACAGCTCCATTACCAAAGCAAGAATTGTAAGGCTTGACGGCTGTTGATCGTTTCAGCATCCACTCTGCGATAGAAGGTTATTAAAGGAACCAGATTTGCTAACGTCTTGGTGATTTTGAACGCATTTGTTAAGCTGAATGAATAGAGCTACCAAGAGGACCAAGAAGCAGGGCTCGGGACTCATCTTTTAATTAATTTTGATTTTTTTCAACTTCCATTAATCATCTTTGAGATATCAGTGGAATTAACTTCAGTTCTATTGATATTTTTATCATCAAGATGCCTTGACAAACATCCTCCACTTGTTAAACTCTGTTTCTTTTTCTCCCAAACACAATTCCACTTTGTTTTTCCCACTACTTTTCTCTTCCTTTATCCTCATACTCAAATCTCTTAGTTCAATTTCTTCAAAGTAATGGACATTTGATACCAGCAAGTGTTTCACTAAGAGGCCACAGCCAATCATAGATCATCACCTTCATCTGTAACACAAAATCATTAACGTTGTTTACAAAATCCTCAGACCATTGCTCCCACATAGACAATAATAGCTCAATTTTACAGTATCTCAATCAACTACTAAAACTAATGCTAGAATCATAAACATGATTGCAATAAATCCAAATTCACAAACAAAACTTCCTAATTGTAAAACAAGCAACTTCATCAACCAACAATAAAAGTTGATGTGTATTTAATCAAAAAATGATATAGCAAAACCCCTATTGGTCCGAAAATGGGGGAAGATTCAAATAAAACTAGAAACTTGAAACAGAGAAAAATGAATAGAAGAATATATAAGTGGTTTTCATAAACATTGAATTCATCATTCTGAACTAGGGCAAGCCTAAAAACCCGATATTTACCTATGTACACAAAACACCCTCTTCTAATATAATTCTCAAGTAATAACTGAAACCATAAAATGATGGAAGCATGTAGTGGTTAGTGGGACTCCGCCATGGAACAACTAGAGCCCTCTTCAACTACAGCATCAATGATAGGAAAAATCTACTCTATATGGGAGTAGAGCCTCCAAGAATATATCAAAAGAGGGTTTTTAAATCAAAGATTGGCCTCCTTTTTCATTAATTCCCATAAGTTTAAATAAACCTAATATACGAATTGTGACTTACTAAAAAGCCGCTCGAAACATAAAATAAAAGAACACACAATATAAATATTACTAAATAGCAGCTACTCCATAAAAAGTCTGTTAAAGAAAACCAATCTTCCTACTTGCTCACACATAATCTTTGGATCATCCAGGC